CTGAGGTGCAAAGCAGTGGAGAATCAGGACCTAAAAGCTGATGATCTACTACATCTCTTTCTCTGCCCCCATCCCTAGGGAGCTCTGCTATAAAAAGTCACTAATTCTGCTCCACGAATCTACAAACTTGATCATTTTCACCAAAACCAATACCAACAACATTCTAAACAAAAATCTAACTGTATAATATTGTAGCAAGGTCTCACAGTTCTAAGGCTTCATTACTTACAAAATATATTAGAGTACCTCTAGGAAGCATCGTAAATAACAACCACACTTATCAAAATAAATTAGATGCAATTTGTAATGACAAATCCTTGATTTTCCCCCTGCCCCATAATGTTTCATAGAAATATAATGCTAGAAGGGACCTTGAAGGATCATCCAGTCCAGTGGTTCTCAGCCTTTCCAGACTACTGTACCCCTTTCAGGAGTCTGATTTGTCTTGTGTACCCCAAGTTTCACCTCACTAAAAAACTACTTACTTACAAAATCAGACATAAAAATACAAAAGTATCACTGCACATTATTACTGAAAAATTGCTTGCTTTCTCATGTTGACCATATTAAAATAAATCACTTGGAATATAAATATTAGACGTACATTTCAGGGTATATAGAGCAGTATAAACAAGCCATTGTGTGTATGAAATTTCAGTTTGTACTGACTTCACTAGTGCTTTTTATGTAGCCTGTTGTAAAACTAGGCAAATAGCTAGATGTACCCTCTGGAAGACCTCTGCGTACCCCCAGGAGTACCCCTACCATTGGTTGAGAACCACTGGTTTGGTAGATACCTCCATGGTGATGCAGGACGAAGTATACCTAGCACAACCCTGACATGTGTTTGTCTAATCTGTTCTTAAAAACCTCCAATGGCAGAGTTTCCACAGCCTCTCTTGGTAAACTATTCCAGTCTTTAACTATCCTTATAGTTAGACAGCCTTTCCTAATATCTAACCTAAAACTCGCTTGCTGCGGATTAAGCCCAATACTTCGTGTCCTATCTTCAGTGGCTATGGAAAACAACTGATCATCATCTTCTTTATAAAAGCCCTGAACATATTTGAAATCAGATCCGTCCTGAGTCTTCTTTTCTCAAAGCTAAATACACCCCTTTTTTTAACCTTTTCTCATAGAGCTGGTTTTCTAAAACTTTTCTCATTTTTGTTGCTATCCTCTGGACTCTCTCCAGTCTGTCCACATCCTTCTTTAAAGTACAGTGCTCAAAACTGGACACAGTACTCCAGCTGAAGCCTCATCGTTCTGAGTACAGCGGAACAATTATTTCCAGTGTTTCACATACAACGCTCCTGTTAGTACACCCCAGAATGAATTAATCCTTTTTTACAACTACAGCACACTGTTGGCTCATCTTCAACTTGTGATCCATATGATACTTTTCAGGAGTACTACTGCATAGCCAGTTATTCCTCATTTTGTAGTTGTGCATTTGATTTTTCCTTCCTAAGTGTATCACTTTGCGCTGAAGTACATCATATTTATTTCAGACCAATTCGCCAATATATCAAGATCTTTTTGAATTCTAATTCTCTCCTCCAAAGTGGTTGCAACCCCTCCCAGGTTGGCGTCCTCTGTACATTTTATAAGTATGCTCTCACTTCGGTATCTAAGTTATTAATGAAAATATTGAATAGTACCTGACCTAGGACAGACCCCTTTGGGACACCACTATATACTTCCTCCCAATTTGACAGCCACACCATTGGTAATTACACTGAGTACAATTTTTCAACCAGTTGTGCACACACTTTACAGTAATTTCATCTAGACCACATTTCCCTAGTTTGCTTATGAAAATATCATGTGGAACTGTGCCAGAGCCTTACTAAAATCAAGATATATCACATCTACTGTTTCCCCCCCATCCATTAGGCCAGTAACCAGTAAGTTTGTTTGCTCAGGGCCTGTTCTGGCTCCCACTTAGTTGAATCCAAAGGGAGTTTTAACATAGACTTCAATGGGAGCTGATTCTCATTTGCACTAAGGCCCTCTTACACTGCTCTGCCAGTATAAAGGAGCCTTAGGGTATGTCTACGCTTCAAGCTGGAGGAGTAATTTCCAGTTCAAGTAGACAGACTCATACTCTCTGATCAAGCTAGTGCACTAAAAATAGCAGTATAGCTGCAGAGACACGAATGGCGGGAGGGGCTAGCCACCCCAAGAATTATCCTGTCCAAGACGCTAGGTATATATTCGGGCAGCTAGCCCCTTCTACCATTTGCACTGCGACAGGTATTTTTAGTGCATATGCCAACTTAAGTTGGAAATTGCACCTTCAGTTCGAAAAGCAGGTATACCTTAAAATTGGTGAAGTGGAACAGGTTCCATAGTGGGGTGAAGGGGCCAAAGGCCACTGAGAATTCAAGCCTTACTGTCTAATCTACATGAATCAGTAGCCTGCACTGGGTCTCCCAGTCATAAGTGCAAATTAGCAATATTCTATTACATTTTCCAAAAACAAAACAATTACAATAGAAAACACATGCAAACACCAGAAATGGTTTACCACCTATGAGAAACTATTATAGTACAAGCAATACTACAAACTGTACATGCACAGGAAAATATAAAATGCATTTTTCTTGATGCAGCCGATAATCACAAAAACTTCCATCTAGCCTTTAGGATAGCAATAGGAATCTGATGATGCATGCCCATCTGCAGTGACAAGGGGAAGAAAGCCATCTTTGCAGACTGCAGATAGTGTATGAAAGAATGCCCGTGAAAATACAATCCTTAACATGACTGTGCCAATTCTTAAGAGCTAATGTACTTTTACTAGTATCCTTGTTTACTGTTAACCTAACTTTGCAAATAGCAGTATTTCACAAATGTTATCCTAACAGACATTGCTTTTAATAACAGATTTGTTCAAATAGTAATGCCACATCTGTTAGTATGAAGAGACAAGTTAAAATTGAACCTATGATCAACATCCAGGAATAAGACACTAATGCTGTGTAAACTTTCATTATTCCATCTTTCTCTGATAGATTAAAAATGTGTTGATTACATGTTGATTTAGAAATACTACTTTGGTGGGAGTATGAGGGGGTGTTTGTTTTTTAAAAGTTAATGTGGTATTAAACAAATCCCTGTAAATCTATAAGAGGGCAGTGTGTTCTAGTGTTTAGTTAAAGGAAAGGACTTGGAGTCAGGAGACATGGGTTTTATTCTTGCCACTAAACTTGCTGTGATTTTGGGCAATTCACTTAACCTTTTCATGTCCCAATTTCCCATCTGTGAAATGATATAATAGCGTATTCTTGCTTAGTAAAACATTCTAAGATCATCACATAAATGTTTCTGCAGAAATGTAAACTGCTATTTTGTAAATAGAAATATTTTTCAGTCTTTTTTTAATTCAGTGAAAACAAATAGGTTTTTAAAATGTAAATATTTCTCTTCAACAACACTGTGTGAGTGCATAAGAACCTTAAAGTCAATCTAACCAGACAAAAAAAGTCCAACTCACAAGTCTGTTTTCATCGTACGGCTAAAAGTCCAGCAAAACATAACCATGAAAAGAATGTTTCCAGTTTTGTTTTGTTTTTTAAATCAAAGATATTGATAATAGAGGTATAGAACTGAGGAAAGGAAAAAAATTAAGATTTACATTGACTCTTTAATGTATGCCAGTCTGAAGGTAGAAGGGGACCTGGAGATAATACTCAGGTTGCCACAGAAACCACTCACCTCGATCAGCAAGAAAAAAAAAAACAAGTTGAGAGATGCAGCTGATGTTGCATGTTAGAAGATTATCTTCATACTGCATTATTCAAGGCATAGTCACCAATTCTGGTTATCAGATCAGAAGAGCAGCTGGGAAAAAGAGTGTAGAAGGTGCAATATATAGAAAAGGAGACTACATATCAGAGGGAGTCATGAGACACCATGAAATCGAAAGGCCAAAATCTCAATAATATCTTGACCACAGTCTCTGTTAAGAATCTCTCACATAGCCCCATACTCCATGGCCTGGTCTGAGGCACGAGGCCTAGTTAACAATGGACAATACATGACTAATGAAAGGCTGGGATAAGCAGGAGACAACCTTGTGTGTTTCAACTATACATAAAATAAGCTGAGACAGCATAACTCCAGGTGGGGAACAGTAATTGGGAGGCTTATCATGAGTTATAGGCACGTAACTCACTGAGAGGAGCCTTAAAGTCTGCTCTCTGGTCCAGGAAGAGATAATGGTACATACTCCCCGAATGCTGACCAGGGTTCAGGGAGAGGCCTAACATGATAGCATGAGTTATGGCATCCTCCCTCAAAACTGCCAGTCCTAGTATGCAGAAACGCATTGGTAAACCATACATGATTGTCATTGCTGTGTGCTGTTTACTGTTCTTTTTGCTCTAAAACCCTCCAGGTATGTACCTGTGGGCCAAACTGCCTGGAAAGAGCCACCGTCATTTCTATGAATCTGAAATCAGGATTTACCTTACACACTGCAAGAGGAGAATTTTGAGGGCTAACACCTGTGTATTAGCAAACATCTTAACCTGAGCTATGGGCAGAGCCATTTTGTAATCTTTTAGACTATTGGCTTATTGTGCTAATTTTGTCTTGCTGCTAGAACCTATACAGGGCTCGGGAACTCCCACCCCGTCATTTCTCTCCGCCCATTGGCACCTGTCAAGGTTCCTTCCCCACTCTGAACTCTAGGGTACAGATGTGGGGACCTGCATGAAAACCCCCTAAGCTTATTTTTACCAGGTTAGGTTAAAACTTCTCCAAGATACAAACTATTTTACCTTTTGCCCTTGGATTTTATTGCTGCCACCACCAAGCGTCTAACAAATATATAACAGGGAAATAGCCCGCTTGGAAACGTCTTTCCCCCCAAAATCCTCCCAAACCCTATACCCCCTTTCCTGGGGAAGGCTTGATAAAAATCCTCACCAATTTGCGTAGGTGAACACAGACCCAAACCCTTGGATCTTAAGAACAATGAAAAAGCAATCAGGTTCTTAAAAGAAGAATTTTAATTAAAGAAAAAGTAAAAGAATCACCTCTATAAAATCAGGATGGTAAATACCTTACAGAGTAATCAGATTCAAAACACAGAGAATCCCTCTAGGCAAAACCTTAAGTTACAAAAAGACACAAAAACAGGAATATACATTCTATTCAGCACAGCTTATTTTATCAGCCATTTAAACAAAACAGAATCTAACGCATATCTAGCTAGATTACTTATTAAATTCTAAGACTCCATTCCTTTTCTGTTCCTGGCAAAACAACACACAGACAGAGAGAGCCTTTGTTTCTCCCCCGCCCCTCCAGCTTTGAAAGTATCTTGTCTCCTCATTGGTCATTTTGGTCAGGTGCCAGCGAAGTTATCCTAGCTTCTTAACCCTTTACAGGTGAAAGAGTTTTTCCTCTGGCCAAGAGGGATTTTTAAAGTGTTTACCCTTCCCTTTATATTTATGACACACACCCCAAATCACAGATAGGGTGAAACACTGGCTGTGATTTCTTCCTGGAGCTCTAGGAGAAAACAGAGTTAATAAGACACATGCACCTCTAAATATACTACCAAGTATATAAAGACTAACAATATTTTCCACATCTCAAGGATGATTTTAACCAGTTGATTCTGGGAAACTTTCACGGGAGAGTGTATCAGCCACTTTGTTAGAAGCTCCTGAGATGTGTTGGATGTCTAAATCAAAATCTTGGAAAGCTTATTCCACCGAATAAGTTTTTTGTTATTTCCCGTGGTGGTATGAAGCCACTGTAGAGCAGCATGGTCGGTTTGCAGGTGGAAATGCCATCCCCAAACATATGGGCGTAGCTTTTCCAGAGTGTAGACAATGGCGTAACATTCTTTTTCACTGACTGACCAATTGCTTTCCTTCTCAGACAGCTTCTTGCTGAGAAACACTACAGGATGGAATTCTTGATCCGGTCCTTCCTGCATTAAAACTGCTCCCACACCACGCTCGGACGCATCTGTGGTTACTAGGAACGGTTTGTCAAAGTCTGGGGCCCTTAGCACAGGCTCAGACATGAGTGTCGTTTTAAGCTGGTTAAAGGCCTTCTGACACTCTTCGGTTCACTGAACGGCATTTGGCTGTTTCTTTTTGGTTAGGTCTGTCAGTGGGGCAGCGATTTGGCTGTATTGCAGTACAAATCGCCTGTAATATCCGGTCAAGCCTAAGAAGGATTGGACCTGTTTCTTTGACTTTGGGACAGGCCACTTTTGGATAGCATCCACTTTGGCCTGTAGGCGGTTGATAGTTCCTTGACCCACCTGGTGTCCAAGGTAAGTCACTCTGTTTAGGCCTATTTGACACTTCTTAGCCTTAACAGTTAGTTCTGCCTCCCTTATGCGCTCGAAGACTTTTTGTAGATGTTCCAGGTGTTCTGACCAGGAATCCGAAAATATGGCCACATCGTCAAGGTAGGCAATAGCATATTCTCCTAATCCCACTAGGAGACCATCTACAAGTCTTTGGAAGGTGGTGGGCGCATTCCGCAGCCTGAAAGGGAGTACATTAAATTCATACAGCCCGACCTGTGTGGTGAAGGCTGACTTTTCCTTGGTGGATTTATCTGCCAGTACCCCTTGGTTAAGTCCAAGGTAGAGATGAACTGGGCCCGTCCCAGTTTCTCTAATAGTTCATCTGTGCGTGGCATTGGATAGTTGTCTGGGCGAATTACAGCATTTAGCTTACGGTAGTCCACACAAAAATGTATCTCCCCATCTGGTTTGGGAACTAGAGCCACGGGAGATACCTATGCACTGCCAGAGGGGCGGATTACCCCCATCTGTAGCATATCCTGGATCTCCCATTCTATAGCAGTTTTAGCTTGAGGAGACACCCGGTAAGGTTGGACTTTAATTGGGTGAGCATTACCTGTGTCAATGGAGTGGTATGCCCGTGCAGTCAGTCCTGGGGTGGCTGAGAACATCGGCGCATAGCTAGTGCGCAGCTCCTTGATTTGTTGTTGCTGCATATGCCCAAGGGTCATGGAGAGGTTCACCTATTCCACGCCACCAGCACTTTTCCCTTCGTAGTAGGCACCTTCAGGCCACTCAGCGTCATCTCCTCCCCGGGCTGTAACTGACAAACCTTTCATTCTCTGGAATAAAAGGGCTTTAGAGAATTAATATGGTACACCTTAGGCTTTCGGTTGGAGGTGGGGAATGCTATAAGATAATTAACAGCTCCCAGGTGCTCCTGGACCATGAATGGCCCTTCCCATGATGCTTCCATTTTATGGGCCTCGAGTGCCTTTAAGACCATGACCTGGTCCCCTACTTTGAAGGAACGCTCTCTGGCATGTTTATCATACCAGGCTTTTTGCTCTTTTTGAGCATCCTGTAGGTTTTCTTTAGCAAGGGCTAAAGAGATTCGGAGGTTGTTTTGTAGGTTGGTTACAAAGTCCAGAATGTTAGTTCCTGGAGAAGGTGTAAACCCCTCCCATTGCTGCTTCACCAACTGTAATGGCCCCTTAACCTCGTGGCCATATACGAGTTCAAATGGTGAAAACCCTAAACTGGGGTGTGGTACAGCTCTGTAGGAAAAGAGCAACTGCTGCAGCACTAGATCCCATTCATTGGAGTGCTTATTTACGAAATTACGTATCATGGCCCCCAAAGTTCCATTAAACTTCTCCACCATGCCATTTGTTTGATGGTGGTAAGGAGTGGCAACCAAGTGATTTACCCCATGAGCTTCCCAAAGGCTTTCCATAGTTCCTGCCAGGAAATTAGTTCCTGCATCTGTGAGGATGTTGGAGGGCCAACCTACCCTGGCAAAAATGTCTGCTAGTGCCTGGCACACACTTTTAGCCTTGGTGTTGCTTAGTGCTACTGCTTCAGGCCATCGGGTGGCAAAATCCATGGAAGTCAGTATGTATTGCTTCCCTCTGGGTGTCTTTTTTGGAAAAGGGCCCAGAATATCCACAGCTATTCGCTGAAATGGAACTTCAATGATGGGGAGTGGTTGGAGAGGGGCTTTGACATGGTCTGACAAAGTCACTCAGTCTTTGGCATACCTCACAAGACCGGACATAGGTAGAAACATCCTTGCCCATTCCCTCCCAGTGGAATGACCTCCCCAAACGGTCTTTGGTCCTGTTCACCACAGCATGGCCACTAGGATGATCGTGGGCTAAGCTCGACCCGATACTTAGTTGGAACTGCCAACTGTCTCTGAGGATGCCAGTCTTCCTGGTGTCCACCAGAAAGAGTTTCCTTGTATAAAAGTCCTCTTTCTACAATAAACCTGGATCGATTAGAAGAGCTGAGAGGCGGTGGGTTGCTCCATGCCGCCGTCCAAGCTCTCTGGAGGCTTTCATCTGCTTCCTGTTTGGTCATAGCTCTGTTCCCTTGATGCTGGAGACATCAGTTCCTCATTGGATTGTGGACCTAGGCTTGGTCCCTCTGGAAGCGATGTAGGGGATGGGGCTGTTTCCCTTGACTGTGAACCGCTCTCCGCTGGTGCACTATGTTGGAGTTCAGGCTCCGGCTGAGTCTCTGGTGTAGGGTTATCGGCTGCTGCTGGTTCAGGTTTGGTGGGGCCCTCTGGTGTTGGGGTTGCAAGTACTGGATTCAGTGTTGGCAATGGGTCTGGTGCCGGTTGTTCTGCTGGTTCCGGTTCTGGGACTGGCTCTGTCTGGGTCTCTGGGACTGGATCCACTACTGCTGTTGCAGACATTGGCCTGGGGTCTGGGTCCATCACCTCTGACTGGGTCCTGGTAGAAGTTTCCAGAACAGAGCTAGGAGTGATGGTTTGTTTAGCCTGGCTGCGGGTGACCATTCCCACCCTCTTGGCTAGCTTCACATGATTTGCCAAGTCTTCCCCCAGCATGGGGGATGGGATAATCATCATAGACTGCAAAAGTCCACGTTCCTGACCAGCCCTTGTACTGGACAGGCAACTTGGCTGCAGGCAAATTGAAAGAGTTGGACTTGAAGGGTTGAATTGTCACTTGGATCCCTGGGTCGATTAAATTTGGGTCCACTAAGGAAGCATGGATAGCCAACGCTTGTGCTCCGGTGTCCCTCCATGCGGTGACCTTCTTCCCACCCACACTCACAGTTTCCCTCTGCTCCAAGGGCATCTGGGAGGTATATGGGCCTTAGGACCTCTGGTGTGATTCTGGTGCAATGAACTGTAATCTGTTGGGGTTCTTGGGGCAGTTGGCCTTCACATGCCCCAGTTCGTTACATTTAAAACATCGTCCAGCTGACGGATCACTGGGGCGAGGTGGGTTGCTGGAGAATGGTGTGGCGGGACGATAAGGTGTCTGGACAGTTCCTTGGGGGGTAGTTGGGGCCTTGGGCTGCCCCCGGTAGGAGGGTATGGTCTGAGGTTGTCCCTTCTGGTATCTGCTCCAACTGGGACCAGTTTTTTTCTTTTCTGCCACCTCCACCCATTTGGCTCCAATCTCCCCCGCCTCGAGTTTTGGGCTTCCCATCTAGGATGTATCTTTCTATTTCCTCAGGAACACCCTCTAAGAACTACTCCATTTTCATTAGGAAGGGCAAATCTTCTGGAGATTGAACATTTGCTCCTGATATCCAGGCATCCCAATGTTTCACAATGTGGTTGGCATGTCGGGTAAATGACACGTCTGGTTTCCATCTTAGGGCTCTGAACCGCCGACGGGAATGCTCGGGTGTTAGCCCCATTCTGACTCTTGCCTTGGTTTTAAACAGTTCATACTTGTTCACGTGTTCCTTAGGCATTTCAGCCGCCACCTCAGCTAAGGGTCCACTGAGCTGTGGCCTCAGCTCTACCATGTATTGGTCTGTAGAGATGCTGTACCCAAGGCAGGCCCTTTCGAAGTTTTTTAAGAAGGCCTCGGTATCATCGCCTGCCTTGTAGGTGGGGAACTTCCTGGGACGTGAAGCGGTACCTGGAGAAGGATTGCTATTCTGCTGAGCCTTTGCCTTCTCCATCTCCAGTGTATGCTTCATTTCTTTTTCCCTTGCCTCCATAGCTCTCCTGTGGGCAGCCTCTTTGGCTGTTTCTGTTTTGGGCTCTGTCATGTTTGCCTCTCTGTTTTTAACTAACTTTACCCCTGAGACTTAGAAATAAAACAAACAAAAAACTTGGCTTGTAAAATTTTGCTGTGCTGTAATCAGATTCCTATGTTCTCTGATAGCGATTGTCAGCCTACAGAAAAATCCTTAAAATAGACAGAAAACCCTTCTAGTTGCTCTTAGGTAAAAAAAAAAAAAAAACTTCTTCAGGTCTGTGAAGACTTGTGAATTTCCCTGCAGGAGGTTAACTATCCTGCCTTTAGGTAGAGAAAACTCCAGCTCACAAAAGACAATTCCCTTTTGTCTCTGCTCTGGCCCCCAAGCAGAGACAAAAAAACCCTTCTAACTTCTTTCAGCTGAAAACCAGCTTTCCAGCAGCCCAAAGGAAAAAAAAATTCCCTTTTTAAAATCTGTGCTTCTTGTTCAAAAAATCTCAAATTGATCTCAAAATGATTTCAAGTTAATCCCACCACTCTGCCACCATGTCAAGGTTCCTTCCCCACTCTGAACTCTAGGGTACAGATGTGGGGACTTGCATGAAAACCCCCTAAACCTATTTTTACCAGCTTAGGTTAAAACGTCTCCAAGGTACAAACTATTTTACCTTTTGCCCTTGGACTTTATTGCTGCCACCACCCAGCATTTAACAAATATATAACAGGGAAATAGCCCACTTGGAAACGTCTTTCCCCCCAAAACCCTCCCAAACCCTATACCCCCTTTCCTGGGGAAGGCTTGATAAAAATCCTCACCAATTTGCGTAGGTGAACACAGACCCAAACCCTTGGATCTTAGGAACAATGAAAAAGCAATCAGGTTCTTAAAAGAAGAATTTTAATTGAAGAAAAAAGTAAAAGAATCACCTCTATAAAATCAGGATGGTAAATACCTTACAGGGTAATCAGATTCAAAACATAGAGAATCCCTCTAGGCAAAACCTTAAGTTACAAAAAGACACAAAAACAGGAATATACATTCTATTCAGCACAGCTTATTTTATCAGCCATTTAAACAAAACAGAATCTAACGCATATCTAGCTAGATTACTTACTAAGTTCTAAGACTCCATTCCTTTTCTGTTCCTGGCAAAACAACACACAGACAGAGAGAGCCTTTGTTTCTCCCAAGCCCCTCCAGCTTTGAAAGTATCTTGTCTCCTCATTGGTCATTTTGGTCAGGTGCCAGCGAGGTTATCCTTGCTTCTTAACCCTTTACAGGTGAAAGAGTTTTTCCTCTGGCCAGGAGGGATTTTAAAGGTGTTTACCCTTCCCTTTATATTTATGACAGCACCCTATATAATCTATTGTAATCAGTTGTTTTGCAGTGTATCACTGAGCCTAATAAGCGAAGTGACACTCTGCCAGCGCTGTTCATAATAAACCCTCGTGCTTGACTCTACATGGTGTCAAACTTCTGTTCCTTCAAAATAAAGATGGGCCCTAATCCTAAAATTTTATATCTGGATGTGAATACTCCGAAAGTTTTCATGCAGCATGGTACTACTTTTTCCTTTTTTTATAACTATTTATTTAGGGCATTCTAATAGGTTTACAAAATGATTGCTATGTAACCATCAGAAATAAAAATTTAATCCTTTCAATACTGAGCTGATCATTTTGTTTAGAGAAACATTATGTAGTAATGTACAGTAATCATCAAATCTCTCGATTTAGCAGGGTGTTATCATATTAGAGGGTGAGGCAGTTTACACCTCCCCAGAACATGTTGTTTCTAGTGATTTTATGAAACTGGGGGAAGGTCTACACTACAAGTTTACACTACAAATTTAGAATTTCTGGTGAAGATGCTCTAAGCCGAAGGGAGAGAGCTCTCCCACTGACATAGTGCCCAGGTCAGCATATCTACGTCACTCAGGGGTGCAGACTGTTTATACCCCTGAGCAATATAATTATACCGAAGTAATTTTGTAGTGTAGACCAGGGCTCAGTGCAATTACACAGTACTTATTTCTAAGAACTTAACTGTCTCCTCTTCCAAAAATGAAAGGAGTTATCACAGCAAGCAGAATGACTTGTCAATTGTACAGTCATGTTATAATCAGAGAAGAAAGGTGGGTAGGCTCTCCTTCAGGCTAGAAAATAATGTTCATTATTTGAACATCTTCACAGTAAGGCCAAATATGTGCCGTCTTACATCCCACTGAATTTACTGGGGTTGCAAAAGATACAAATCAGTGCAGAGAATGTTTAAAGAACACTATAAAACAGAAATTGAGCCATCTAAACAGAGTGAAATTCAACCCGGTGTAGCCAGTCAGCACGAGTTTGATGTACCACTCCAGCAGTCAGATTTAAGCTTTAGTTTCAGGGCCACATGTTACTCCCTTGCACCTGCATGAATTTTCCCCCATCATAAATAGGAAGCTAACAATTTACAAGCAACAGATTGAAAAGTTGCAAGGACCTGTGTCAGCTCAATGTCCAGCACCATCATTAATGAAACCAGTTCTCTTTCTTTCATTATATTGTCTTACTTCACAAAGATGGGTATTCTGAATTCATATTTCTCTCTTTTGGAGAGAGCTGATCAGGGATTTCTTGTAATAAGCAAGTTTGTCATTCTAATTCAGATGACACTTGACAAAAAGGATTTGTTCATCAAAGAGTAGTTCTTGCCATAGTTACATGATATAGTCATATACTACTTTTGAGTAAGTAATTTGTATTTACAAAAAATGCTACCAGGCAGATTTACAGATAGAGGATTATGTTCTCACCAATGTAGAAACATTCACATACTTGGGCAGTGCCATTAGCCAGAACAGTGGAACAAGCCAGGCCATCCAGAACAAAATCAATAAAGCCAGGAACACCTCCAGGAGCTTAAATACAGTCTGGAAATCATCAAAATACAACACCAAAACCAAACTCAAGATTTATCAGAGCTGCATACTTTCAAAACTACTTTATAGCACAGAATGTTGGGGAATAAGAACGTATGACATGTCCAAACTGTCTTCATTCCATACAGCCTGCCTCAGAAAAATCCTCCATATCTTTTGGCCCAGAACAATCTCAAACCAGTATCTATTGATGCAGTGCAGCCAAGAGGATCTGAGCACCATCATTGCCAGGATGTACTGGAGATGGATTGGCCATGTGCTTCGGATGGAAACTGATTCCATCACCAGAGTAGCAATAAGATGGACACCTGAAGGCAAGCAAAAATGAGGCCACCTGGAAACAAGATGTCAAAGAGCTGTGGAAGCTGAGCTGAAAAACCTGGGGCACAGCTGGGTAACCACTGAAAGACTTGCCAGAAACAGACAGGAGTGGAGGAGCTTCGTCACTGCCATAAACACCAGAGGTGTAATAGGAACATGATGATGAACTATAATCAATTAAGGGAATTAGGGAAGTGGACTGGAGTGAAGAACTCAAGGATGTGAATGTGGAGGAGGCCTGGAATTCCTTTAAGTCAAAGTTGCAGAAGCTATCTGAAGCCTGCACCCCAAGCAAGGAATAAACATTTGTAGGGAAGGGTTGCAGACCACGCTGGATGAGCAAGCATCTCGAACAGGTGATTAAGAGAAAGCAAAAACCTACAAGGAATGGAAGATCTGGGGATCAGCAAGGAAAGCTACCTCTTGGAGGTCAGAAAGTGTAGGGCTAAAATGAGAACTTCCAAAAGCCAAGCAGCATTGGACCGTGCAAAGGGAATTAAAACCAATAGTAACAGGTTCTATAGCCATATAAATTAAAAAAAAAAAACAAGGAAAGAAGAAGTGGGACTACTAAGCACTGGGTGCAGATTAAAGATTATCTAGGCATAGCCCAACTCCTAAACAAATACTTTGCCTCCATTTTTAATGAGACTAATGAAGAGCTTACAGGTAGTGGCAGGGTGGCTAAAGGCAATGAGAATATGGCGGTAGAAATTACCACATCCGAAGTGGAAGTCAAATTCAAACAGCTTAATGGGACTAATTCAGGAGCCTGGATAATCTCCATCAAAGAATATTAAAGGAACTGGAACATGAAATTGCAAACCCCATAGCAAGGATTTTTAATGAATCTGTAAACTCAAGGGTTGTACTCTATGACTGGAAGATTACTAATATAGTTCCTATTTTTAAGAGGGAAAAAAGTGATCCAGGAAACTAGAGGTCTGTTAATTTGACCTCAATTGTATGCAAGTTCTTGGAACAAATTTTGAAAGAGAAAGTAGGACATAGAGATGAAAGGCAATTGGGAAAAATACAATATGGTTTTGCAAAAGGCAGATCATGCCAGACCAACCTGATCTCCTTCTTTGATATTTTAGACCAGAGGTCGGCAACCTTTCAGAAGTGGTGTGCCGAGTCTTCATTTATTCACTTTAATTTAAGGCTTTGTGTGCCAATAATGCATTTTAACATTTTTAGAAGGGGTCTCTCTATAAGTCTATATATTATATAACTAAACTATTGTCGTATGTAAAGTAAACAAGGTATCCAAAATGTTTAAGAAGTTTCATTTAAAATTAAATTAAAATGCTGATCTTATGCCACCGGCCCACTCAGCCCGCTGCCAGCCTGGGGTTCCGTTCACCTAGGCTGGCAGCAGGCTGAGCGGGGCCTGCGGCTGGCACCCCGTCTGGCAAGGGGCCGGTAGCCAGAACCCCAGAACCCCAGGCAAGGGGCCAGCAGCCAGGACCCCAGACCGGCAGTGGGCTGAGCAGCTCAGCCCGCTGCCCGTCTGGGGTTCCGTCCGCCAGCTCCTGCCAGCCAGGATCCCGGCTGCTGGCTCCTCTCAGCCAGCTGCCGGTCTGGGGTCCTGGCCCTGTGCACACAGAGTGGGTACCTACCTTCTCCCTGGTTCTAGCCCATTCTCTTCCTCTCTCTCTCTGCACTGAGCTGAGGGTGGGAGTGCACTGAGCAGAGGGCTCGGGGTGAAGGAGCAGGCTGGGGGTTGGGGTGTAGAGTCTGGCCAGGAGCTAGAATGAGGGAGGGGGCTCAGGGTTGGAGCAGGAGGTTTGTGTGTGGAGTGCTTACCTGGGCAGCTCCCATTTGGTGCAAGGTGCGGGGGTGGGAATGTGGGGGGTGGAAGAGTCAGGGCTGAGGGCATGTGTGGGGGGTGCAGGGATCAGGGCTGGGATTGTGGGGGGGTGCAGGGGTCAGGGCAGAGGGCTGGGGGGAGGTGTGGGAGGGGGTGCAGGGGTCAGGGCAGAGGGCTGGGGGTGTGGGCTAGGGTCCTGGGGGTGCTCCCAGACCCCTGCCCAGAGCAGCTCACGGCAGGGGGCTGGAGGGGATATGCCCCGATTCCGCCCCCTGTCCCCAAGGCCCCGTCCCCACATCTTCTCTGCCTCCTCCCCAGAGCAGCAAGCGTGCTCCAGCTCCGCTTCTCCCCCTCCCTCGCAAGGGCCATCAGCTGATCGGCGGCAGGGAGGGAGAGGAGGAGGGGCAGGAACCCAGCACGGTGGGGGAGTGGGGAGCTTGCCTGCCCGGCAGCAGCAGCTGGCAGGACCAAGCTTCTTCAGCCTTCCCCCGTGGGGGGTTGGGGGCAGGGAGGCGGAGAAGAGCAGGCCGGGGCGGGCAGAATTTTTAATGGCACGCTGCTGCCTGCCGGGGTCCCGGCCTGGGTTCGGCAGTGGGCTGAGCGGGGCTGGCGGCTGGGACACAGCAGACAGCAGCCTGCCATTAAAAATTGGCTGCGTGCTGTCTTTGGCACACGTGCCGTAGGTTGCCGACCCCTATTTTAGACAAAGAAAATGCAGTAGCTCTAATCTACCTGGATTTCATTAAGGCATTTGATACAGTTCTACTTGGGAAATTATTAGTTGAATTGGAGAAGGTGGGGATTAATATGAGAATTAAAAGGTGGATAAGGAACTGGTTAAAGGGGAGACTACAATAGGTCATACTGAAAGGCGAACTGCCAGGCTGGAGGGAGGTTACTAGGGGAGTTTCTCAGGGATCGGTCTTGGGACCAGTCTTATTTTACGTTTTTATTACTTATGACATTTTATTACATTAGTTATGGATCTATCACAGGTGTGGGTGGATGAGGATCTGTGGCCTGCAATATGTAGGCGATCAGACTAGATGATCACGATGGTCCCTTCTAACCTTAAAGTCTATGAGTCTATGAATAATCAGGCTG